TTGCCAAACGCACGAACTAAACCAAGAAACTGCGCACCGACGTGGAAGGGGATATAGCAGATTTGTCGCAGTCCACCGGTCGACCCAATCAGTCCACATCAGTACCTAGGAAAAGGTGTACATCATGCGTTCAGCTTCACGATTTAATTACGTCTCGCGATACTTTATTTGTTTTTTTATTAACCAGTCGTTGTAATTTTTCCCAGAGCTTGAACATTTTTAAGTGCAAGTTAGAAACACTTGCATTTTTTCTTAAAAATAAGTGGAATCGAGTTGGTATTCGATAGTGGTCGCGCTATTAGAACTCTGAATTCAAAATGAATTGATATCTCAAAATCTATTAAAAATAATTGATTACCCAAACGATATCCCTATAATTCTATTTCAGAGATGCTCAGAAACATATCTAATCATTTTATCTAGTTATATTTTCGAAAAAAAGTCGTTTAAAAATAAGCGGTTTGCGATCTTGATTTGACTTTACCTGATAGGGAAAGGTGTACCGACAACGCCGCATTTTTCTCACTCAGACTTAATAAGATTCCTATGCGATTTACTTCCACACATGTAAGTTCCGACCCAAAAGTAACAGTTGCCAGCACGGTATTTGTCTATACATTTAGTGGATATTTATACATTCGTATGAATATCGTAAAACAGACGTACTCAGGAATGCGCTTACGGTTACGTCACAGATAAACAAATAAATTATTGATAGGGTGCTGTGACACTTTGAGTATACTTGACATAACCAGCGGTGGTTATTCTGAGCGTGACAGATAATAAGGGGTTGTTGGTCGTTGTTATGTGCCATTTTGGACTTTTTCTCGCGAAACCTTTATACGATTTCGAGTTTAGTACTTAATCTAAAGGCCAATGATTCCATCGTATAAGTTATACCTTCGTGCAGTCGATACAGACCGCTCTTTTTTACACTTCCTCTACCTTTACTCAACTTTATACTTTTTTGCAGTACTGCAAAGTACTACTCGTGATATAGTCACAGCTTAGATCTAGGTACCTTTATTTTGCATGTAGTATAGTGCAATAATTTTTATTATTATTAGGTTAGCGTCGAGAAAAAGAACTGTTTTTTCTTGGTCTTTCAGTTGTTTTAGGTTTTTTCAATTTTACTTTTTAGTTTTCTTTGTTGTAAATGTGTATTTTCGAGTTTTAGTGAATGTGGGCGTGTTCATTTTTCTGTTTGTTATATCTCATATATATGTTATTACTAGGTTAAGTGATATACTTAAAAGTCAGTCATATTAGCATCAATATGTGTATTATAGATATTTTTATATAGTTATTTTAAATTTTAATAACCGTAAAGGAGGTTTTAATTCCGAAACAATGAAAAAAAAACTAAAATATAACAGGTCTAAAGTATTTTCATTTCTAGAATATATATTTTACGTTAATCACTACTTTGTTTTTATTACTTTTTTGATAGACACGTTAAATTAATAGTACGAGGGCTAGCAACGTCGGAAAAACAAGTATTTTAAGACGTGTGGCTCTTTGATATATCTTTTACTATGCTCTCTAGAACAGCATGCGGCCGGTAAACGTTGCGTTCCCTACTGCGCATTGAAAGAAGATCCTATATTTTTATTAGTCCTTTAAATTCTAGTATTGAATATAAACCGACCGAGTCTCCATAGCTCAGCGCGTAGAGGTTTCGCGATTTCGCCTATCAAGCGAAGAGTCACAGTTCGAATCCGGGTCAGGGCAAAAACTTTTTTATTTTCGTTTATATTCTGATAGTAAAGTATTAAATATTTTTTTTTGGATTACCAGAATTATTTCAAACTTTACTATCAGAATATAAACGAAAATAAAATAATAAAGTCTTTGCCCTGACCCGGATTCGAACTCTGAAAAATCGGTTCGTAGTCGGAAACTCTACACACTGCGCTATGGAGACATGTTCGATTTATATTCAATATTACTAGAATTTATAGGACTAAATTAAAAAAATATATAGGATCTTCTTCCGATGCGCAGTGGTGAACGCAACGGGTATCGGCCATATACGTATTATTTACAAATATACTCAGCCTAATCTCCAAAAAGTGAAGCCCAAACAGTGAAAGAACAATATGGAATTCTGCATAAGTCTATTTCACCCGGATATTCATTTAACTGCGCATGCCTCACCTGAAGAAGTTTTCATTGGTCGATGTTTTTAAAGGGAAGTGGTTGACTGACATTTCACCTAACCTTCAATTTTATTTATATTTTATTATTTATAACACATTATCATGGAGTTGGAAAAATATCAAAAAATAGTTGGAAACAATAAACTAAACAAAATCACTCTTTTACGCGCACAAATAAAAAGTAATCCAAACAGAACTAAAACAACAATCAATCGGAGTTTGGCGCAATCGCAGTTCAATCCATATCCGGGTGAAATAGACTTATGCAGTTTTAATATGGAGCTGGGTTATGTTGTCTTTCTCTTACGGCACAGGAACTGCACACGGGGTTAAATAGGGAACCCTGAGTATAGTAAATAATACGTATATGGTATCGGCAGCCAGACGGACCCCATGCTGTTCCAGAGAGCATAGTAAGAGATATATCAAAGAGCCAGACGTCTTAAAATACTTTCTCGAGAACGTTGCTAGCTCTTAGACTATAATGGCTATCCTTGTGTTGCTAAATGGTAGATTTTGTTCCATTTTCTTTTTATACTTTAGACTTTAAGACTTTAAACATTTTTTTACAAGTTACTTTTTTAATTTTACAAAGAAAGTATCAATGAATTTTCCGAAACTGTATATACAAGACAAATAAATAATGTGCTACCCTTGATTTTTTTTGTTTTATTTGTATTTTGTACCTATCCATTTAGTAATATACCCTTTTTAATACATAAGACATGACATAAATCACTTGTATAAAGATTGTGTTTTACTATACTAAGTTTATACGAAGGTAAGAAACAACGGCAAATGCAGATTCTGTGGGGAAAATGGAGAAACATCAAAACACCATCACTGAGTGCGCCGACATGACAACCATTCGTGCCATAAACTGTGGAACGACTGATATCGGAGATGGAGAACACTTCTATGAAGCTGTCTGAGATACTGGCTTTATCAAAGCCCTGAGACTGTATGCATGATGAGAGGAAAGGGCGACACACAATAGATATATATATATATATATATATATATATATATATATATATATATATATATATATATATATATATATATATATGTATATTTCTATATATATATATATATATATATATATATATATATATATATATATATATATCGTATCTGTCTTTTCATGAAGATCCTAGGTCACTTCATGAAGCGTCTGTTAGGTTAGCAGTTTAGTTATGTTATTAGGTTAGTTTTTTTCATTAAGTGACTAGGCTCTTCATGAAAAGACGGAATACACTATGAGACTACGACATATACCGGGTGCGTCCCAAAAGTGGCTCACCCCTATAACTTTTTTATTTTTTCTATAAAAAAACGAGTTTTGGCATGTTAGTATATGACATAAATTAGGATTGATTGACGTATTCAATTGTTTTCAGTCACTTCCTGTTTCACCGGAAATGACTACAACTTTTGATTTTTAAATGGCACCCTCTGTACTTTTGTACTCTATTCGATAGAAAATAACACTCTGAATAGAATGACATATCACATGTCAACATTTGACATTTTCGCATATGATTTATTTGAAATTATAATTTCCGGTTCGTAATGAAAATTTGACTCGAAATATCAAGTGTGTGGTATCAAATTATTCGTAAAAACATGCTTTTTCCAAATATGCTAATAAGCCACCCTCGTTCCATTTGAAAAAATTGAGATATGATTAAAAATACGATTTGGGTATCTTCTAACCGGCCAGGACAAGACACTAAAAACATTAGACGATCCAATCTATTACCTAGTTCAAGGAACTATTCCTCTGGAGGAACTAGAACTAAGGAACTAGTTCCTCCCAAGGAACTAGAATTCCCACCTCTAAGAGCAGCAAGGTTGGCATTCGCACGTCGGCATTTAAACTCGACCGTCAATGACTGGAAAAAAGTTCTGTTCAGTGATGAAATGCGCTACAAAAAATTAAATTCTGATGGAATGAGACGTGTGCGACGACCAATCAATACAAGGTTTAATCCTAAATATGTAACACCTACAATCAAACACGGTAAAGGCAGTGTATTTTTATGGGGTTGTTTCTCATGGAATGGATAGGCCCTATACACTTTCTTAATGACACGATGGACCGATTTGTTTATAGAGATATCATGCAGAATGTTATGCTTCCTTATGCAGAATGGGAAATACCACTGCGGTTTATTTTCCAACAGGATAACGATCCAAAACATTCTTCACAAGTTGTTCAACAGTGGTTTAGGGAAAATGACGTTCTAGTTTTGCAATGGCCAGCACAATCCCTAGACCTTAATTCCATTGAAAATCTCTGGGAAGAAGTAGAACGTCGTATTCGTACCCAAATGTTTCCAAATAAACAATCCTTTATAGATAAAATTAATAAAGTTTGGACAAATCTTCCCAAAAATGTCATGCAGAAGTTGATTGCTTCAATGCCGCGCCGTTATCAGCAAGTTATTAATAATAATGGATATTCTATCAGTTACTAATGTATTACTTTCAATTATTATTGTTCTTAAAAGTGTTAAATATTTTTTGTTGAAATAATAAAATCTGTTGAATACAATTTGTTGTTCTACTTTTATCGCCCCCATTCTCATCAGTTTTTTTAATCATTATTATTTACCATTCTAAACTGATTAAAAGTACACCAAAATTTTGTAAAATATTACTTTTAGTGTAAGGATAGTGTGTTAGTAAACATAGCCGAAAATCACAACCTAATAATTTTTTTTATTCAAACATGAATAAAAATGAACTTTGTTGCTCTACTTTTGTCCGATAGTGTAGATCGATCAAAAAATCGACTTTGTACTATTGAGTATTGAGTAACTTTCTTTTTAATTAATTGAAAAGTGGGCCGATCCTGGCGGTACCGCAATACCAGGCCAACCCGTGACAGAGGTGGAGGCAAGCCCCTAACCTCCATCAATTATCCAAAAATCAGTTTACAATATACTGGCCGGCCCCGCATCCTTTTCTCCAAATATTTCCTATAACCTTTTTTGGTTTGGAATCGCCACATTCGCCACGACACGACGAAGCGAACGTGACCAGAGTCGACTTGCGGCAGTCTGGAAATAAATAGTTATAAAGCAGCAGATACATTTTAGAAACAATAACTAGACAGTTGCCCCATCTGCATGTTTGTAAAAACATCTACCTTTTCAGAAAGCAAGAATGATTTCATATTTGTGTAGATAATCCAGTTAACAATCACATTCAAGATGCAAGTAGTATACAATGAAAAAAAAACGGTGTCAGAGATGGTTTGGAATAAAGATCGTTGTCAATGTAAAATTTATATGGGGAATCGTTATCGATCATTCAAAGCCAACTAGACGCCGTTTTTTTTCAATCATATTTCTCCCTTTCAAAAAAAGAAAAGTGCTCAAAATCAACAATTAAAAATAATATATTGTTTTTGTTACACAAGACTGCGCGCACCAGCCTATGTAGGGATGCAAGTTTTTAAAAACATCTACCCCATCTAATCTACCTCTTTAGAAACCAAGAATGATTTTTTCTTATTTGTGTAGATAATCCAGTTAACAATCACATGCAAGTATTATACGATGAAAAAAAAAACGGTGTCAGAGGTGGTTTGGAATAAAGATCGTTGTCAATTAGTATGTAAAACTTATATGGGGAATCGTTATCGATCATTCAAAGCCAACTGGACGCACTTTTTTTCAATCATGTTTCTCCCTTTCAAAAAAGAAAAAGTGCTCAAAATCAACAATTAAAAATAATATTTTGTTTTTGTTACACAAGACTGCGTGCACCAGCCTTTGTAGGAATGCACGTTTTTAAAAACATCTACCTCTTCAGAAAGCAAGAATGATTTCTTATTTGTGTAGATAATCCAGTTAAAAATCACAGGCAAGTAGTATACGATGAAAAAAAAACGGTGTCAGAGATGGCTTGGAATAAAGATCGTTGTCAATTAGTATGTAAAACTTATATGGGGAATCGTTATCGATCATTCAAAGCCAACTGGACGCACTTTTTTTCAATCATGTTTCTCCCTTTCAAAAAAGAAAAAGTGCTCAAAATCAACAATTAAAAATAATATTTTGTTTTTGTTACACAAAGACTGCGTGCTTCAGCCTTTATAATATAAGGATGCACATTTTTAAAAACTCTACCTTTTACCTCTTTAGAAATGCAAGAATGATTTCTTATGTAGCAGCAAAGAATATTATAGTTAACACAATAGAAATGCAAGTAGTATACGATGAAAAAAAACGGTGTCAGAGATGGCTTGGAATAAAGATCGTTGTCAATTAGTATGTAAAACTTATATGGGGAATCGTTATCGATCATTCAAAGCCAACTGGACGCACTTTTTTTCAATCATGTTTCTCCCTTTCAAAAAAGAAAAAGTGCTCAAAATCAACAATTAAAAATAATATTTTGTTTTTGTTACACAAGACTGCGTGCACCAGCCTTTGTAGGAATGCACGTTTTTAAAAACATCTACCTCTTCAGAAAGCAAGAATGATTTCTTATATACGTGTTTTTATTCCTTTACTATAGAAATTTGTATTCAAATTGACCTCGTTTTATTGTTTTAGTTCATCAAGTGCTGAGATAGATGGGGCAACGGTCTAGTTATTGTTTCTAAAATGTATCTGCTGCTTTACAACTATTTATTTCCAGACTGCGGCAAGTCGACTCCGGTCCCGTCACGCTTAGTCGTGGCCAGTGTTGCCAGCCCTATTACGTTCGTAATAAATCTATTACGGAAAAAAAAATCTGTTACGTTGTTACGCCGCTCACCAATCTATTACGTTTTTACGATACAGCCAATCCAACTATTTAAAAATTCAACTATAATAAAAAAAAGTTGATAAACTGGCTTTTAAAATGTTCATTCCACATTTTGTGTATAATAAATTAATTATTGCACGTGTATTGCACGTTGACCGAATTGGAGCCACTGCCGTCTGCTGTGAGTATTATAACCTTATATCTCTGGTATAACCTAACATTTTACAAGAAAGAACCATAGACAAAGAAATAAAATTATTTGTTTCTTTGTCTATGGAAGGAACTGTGAAGGAAAGCGGGGAACCGGGGGAACACTAAAACGGGGAATCACTAACCAGTAACCACTAACCACCAAAGTAAGTTTTGTTGTGAACTTAAGTATTTTAGAAAGTTTTATTATGATGAAGAAGTAAGTTACAGAATAAACTTTATATTTTATACCTACCTATCTACCTAATAGTTTACTTAACTTAATTATGTTTATATCAAATTAATTAAATTTGTAGGTGGTTATCTACATCTGGTGTTTCCAAAATAGATGCTGCAAAATCTGCAGATCCTCCCATTATTACTGCTTCTGTTCGTCCTACATCAGAACATAGTAGCTGTTCAGACTCTCATATAGCAGGCTCTAGAAGCCAGCCAGATTCCCCTATACAAAACTCCAGCAGTCAGCCAGATTCTCCTGTACCAGGCCCTAGTAGGAGGCGGCATTCCAGTATTACAGACTCGGATTCTAGTAGTGATGAATCCACTGGCACAAAAGCTGTTTTAAAAAGGCGAAAAGTAACTACAACCAGTTATAAACAAAAATTTCGGGATAAATGGTGTGAAGATAAAAGATATGCAAATTGGTGCAAATCATCATCGGATGGAAGTTCAGCATTCTGTACTGTTTGTGACAAAAAAATAATTGGAGGAATTACTCATATAAAAAGGCACAGTATAACGTTACTACATAAAAAAAATAAAGAAAGCAGAAAAAACACCAAAAATTCAAGAGCTGCTGTCGATCAATCCTAACAAAGAATTACATTCCATTAAAGTGAAAGCAGCAGAGTTAAGATGTGTTATGTTTCTTCACGAACATAATTTACCCTTTTTATTGATGGACCACCTCCCAAAATTTATAGGATCAGTGTGTCCAGACTCAAATATTGCAGCAGACCTTAAAATATCTAGGACGAAAGCCACCCTAATTACTAAACATTGTTTTACATCCTCCGCTTTAGAGAATATTGCTTAAAAAGTTGACAAATCAGTTGCTTATAGTTTGATAATGGATGAAACCACTGATGTGGCAACACAAAAGTCATTAGTTGTAGTGATAAGATTTTATGATGAAAAGGTGACAGACCACTTTTTTGGTCTTTTAGAAATACATCAAGGTACGTCAAATGAAATTGATCAAACCACAATAAACCATTTGAAAAATAATAATATACCCCTAACAAAAATGATTGGACTAGCTGCTGACAATGCGGCAGTGATGATGGGAAACATTAAAGGTGTACAAGCACTTTTTAGACAGGATGTCCCATCATTATTTGTTATGGGATGTATTTGCCACACATTCCACCTGTGTGCGTCCGCAGCAGCAATTAAATTACCGAATACACTCGAAGAATTCGCTAGGGGAGTATATAATTTTTTCTCAAACAGTAGCAAACGCCTCGTTTTTGAATGAATGCCAAAGCTTTTTAGATGAGAAGCCCCATAAAATGCTGCATCCAAGTCAGACAAGGTGGCTGTCCTTACAGGTAATCTGATTCACAGTTATCTTAAATAACAATAATTAGATTATTTTTTAGGAGGTAGTAAATAGAATTTTACTGCACTGGAATTCCCTAAAACTAGTGTTTCAGGATGCAGTTTTAGCAGAAAATTTACAAAGTTTCCAAACAACTTTAAATAACCTCAATGATCCTATGTACAAGTTGTACTTTTTATTTTTATCTTATGTTTTAGAAATTGTGAATCAGTTAAATCTTGAATTCCAAAGTGAGAAATGTAAGATATATTTATTAAGGTGACAGAGTTAGTGCCTTATACAAGACGATATTAAGGAATTATTTAAAAAAAACATTACCTTGACCAAACTAGTTTAGAAAGAATAGACGTAAAAAATCCCAGAAATTTTTTACCAATTGAAGAAGTTTATTTTGGCGCTAGGGTCCAGGTAATGTTATCCTCAGAGGAAAATAATAATTCTGTCAACAATTTTAGACTAAGATGTCTTGATTTTTATATTGAGCTATGCTCCCAAATTCAGAAAAGATTTTCATTCAATGATCCAATTTTGAATTTCTGTAAAATATTTAATCCTTTGACTGTAGTAAGTGGAAAATAAACTCTATTGCTGCTAAGAGCATTCAGTATTTTCCACAATTAGTTACTGACATTGAAAAATTGGATTTTGAATGGAGACTGTCAGCAGATTCCGAAGAAGTACAGAGTATTAAAGATTTAGATTTTGAAGAATTTTGGGAAAAAATATTTCGAATGAAAAATAGTACGGATGAATTGTTATTCCCAAATTTGTCCATCTTAGTCAAAGGCATAATGTGTCTTCCTCATCCATCTGCAACTGCAGAGAGACAATTTTCCCAATATAATTTAATCAAAACCAAAGTTCGAAATCGTTTAAACATTGACACTTGTGATTCAATATTACACTCAAAAGATCTTTTGAAAGGTTATTCTTGCCACACTTGGGTACCAGACACCAATCTTTTGAAAAAAAAAGGTTCAGTATAAAAATGATACTATGTAGTAATACTTATATATTTTACTAATTTAAGACTGTTGATGCTGTGAAAAAAAGTTATATTTTAACCTGATATTTATTTCGTTAGTTTTAAGTTGACTGATGAGACTGCTGATGCTGTGAAAAAACGGGTGTGTGCAAAGATTATTATTTGAAGTTGACCACATATTTCTTCTGTGGATTTCTCCTGAAACGTGATATTTTCTACTAAAAAAAATTGTAAATATGTATTTTTCATAATATCTATCTTTTGTAAGCTATTTATGTTGCTATAGCTATGACAATAGCAATTTTAGTTTCTTTAGCTGTAGTTTTTCAGTTTACGGCCTCTGTTACGGCCCTGTTCATTGGCATTAAAATTTCTAGTTGAATTTTCTTGTTTATTTGGTTTATATTGAAAGGAAATACATCACAATAATCTACAAGTTACTGGCAGTTTTCTTACGTCTTTGAAAGTAATGTAAAATGTTAATTGTTAGGTATTAATCAGCTGTTTTTAACAAAAAAAAAGACCTAAGCCATTTTCTGACTGCAATTTTTTGAACTGGTTCGAAGAATTGCGCCGCCAGAAAACACCTCATCACTTTTAGCTGTAACCATGCTGTAGCTATGGCATGGCTATGGCTACGTGGCCAACTCCACGAAAACATAACATTGAAAAGATTTATTACGAAACATCAGGATCTATTACGAAAATTTACGAAATATGGTACGAAAAAAAAATTGCGGCTGGCAACACTGGTCGTGGCGATTCCAAACCAAAAATGGTATTGGAAAAAAGGGTATGTTTTGACAGTAGCCGTTTCTCCCTTTCAAAAAAGAAAAAGCGCTCAAAATCAACAATTAAAAATAATATTTTGTTTTTGTTACACAAGACTGCGTGCTTTTCAGTAGTGGTGGAATAAACGGTTATTTCTGGGTAACAGTTATAACCGTTACCGTTATTTTAAAATAACAGTTATTCTTAGCCGTTATTCAGTAACTGGCAGTTATTGACTTTTTATGGCATGTTATGTCGTTAGGTATATTAAGTCCAAAAAAAAACAAATAAAATGTTAATCAAAAAATATATTAATTTATTTTTATTTATTAATATATTAATATAGATAATATGTAGTTAAAAAAATCTAAAAAGCAAATAAAAACAACCTAAATAGGAACTATTTGAAAGTAACAAGTACGAGTACTACTAAAGCTTAAAGCAAATTTAACAAACGACAATGATGGTTAAGAATACAAAAAAAAACATTGATTCTTGATTCTAAAAATCTAGAAAAAATCAGACAAATTGCATTCCGAAAACAAGTTAGGAACTTAACACAGAGAAGAGTTGGCATTCAAAAATAACAATTGTTGCACTTTTAATGCATTCAGTCTATTTCTTCTGTCCCAAAGTATCAAACCCGCCTTGGAAAAAAGCCGCTCACATGGAACTGAAGAGGCCTGAACGCATAATTTTTCTTGCGCCATTTTGCTGAGATATGGAAAATTATATTTATTTTCGCGCCACCATTTAAAAGGGTCTTCTTTCCTAGGTAATATATTTGCTTCTAGATACCTTTGTACTTCTATTATCGCTCGTGATTTGGAAGTTCCTATTGGTTGGGCCGAAGTAACTGCTTTTTCGAACGCACCCCAAACAGATAACTCATCATCAGGGTCTTCCTGATCTCTCGGGTTTAAATTGTTTTCCGGCTCATTCAAAACTCTTTTCTCTTCAGAAATAAGATAAGTAACATAATCCGTAACTTTTTTTTTGGTATTCTCGGCTGCCTGTGCATTTGAAAAAGCTATCATTTTGAATCTCGGATCAAGAAAAGCTGCTAGAGAAATCGTAGTGCTATATTCTACATTTTCTAGCCGTTGATGCAATTGTGTTTCCAAAATCTTCAAAAGATCAATGATAATTTTCGAATGATTTTCCATTTTTTTAAGATTTCTACAAACCTCAAAAAGACCATTGGTAATTGGTATAACATAAGAGACGGTAGCATAATTTTCTCCACTAATTAGTTTGGTAAGTTTTTCGAAGGGCTTTAAAACTTTACAAAGGTCCTTTATAATGGCCCATTCTGTAGGAGTTAATAATGGCAGTTGATGATCAATAATAGCTGTGGTACTTTTTATTGCGTCTTCTAAAAGAATAAAACGTTCCAACATATAATATAGCGAATTCCATCTTGTTTTAACCTCTTGTATTAATTTTAGGGGCTGTTTTCCCATTTGTTGTTGGCATTTCATTAATTTTTCGTTTGAAACATTACTGCGTCTAAAATATCCAACGATACTTTTTATTTTGTCAATAATCTCGATAAGTTCAGGCAATTCTACTGTTTTTTGTATTATCAAGTTCAACGTATGTGCAAAGCACCCAAAATGCTTCCAACCCAATTCATTCTTAATAGCGCTCGTTATATTTGTCGCGTTATCCGAAGTGAGTAATATTATTTTTTCTGTCGGAATTTCCCACTGCTGGTTTTTGCTGGTATGATGATTTTCGATTAATGAACATTGTAGTAAAACACTTTTTAATTCGAAATTAGCCGCAAGATAATGTGCAGTGAGCCCTATATAACTCTCAGAGTTTATCGATGACCAGCAATCAGTTGTAAGTGCTACTGCCCGTGCCTCTTTTATTAGGATTCGACATTTATGATAACACTCTTCATATTTAGCTGGAAGTAACGTTTTCGAAATATATTTCCGATTGGGAAGCTGATAAGAAGGATTTATTGCCTTAACAAAATTTTTAAAACCCTTATCTTCTACAACACTAAACGGTTGTAGGTCGATGGTAAAAAGTTGTAGTAAATTGTCATCCATATATTTCTTTGTGCTAGCACTTATTTTTTTTGGAATGAAATTCGACAATGTTTGTTGCATAAATTTAGCCGGAGCCGGTGTAGAATTTTGGTTGGTACCACTGGTACCAGGAATCGGATCTTGAGATTCTTGAACTGGCGCCGATCGCAATTCATTATCGATACTCTGTTCTGACTGGCTAGTTGGTCGATTAGGAACATCAATATTGACAGAGATTTTTAAATTCGAATTTGTAGATTTATAAGAAATTTTTTTTTACAGATATTGCACGTTGACAAGCAATCAGTATTTTCCAATGGTGAAAAAAAATTCCAAATTCCACCCGTTTTGCTTGACTCGACATGATTTATTGTCAAATAACTGTTAAATTCAATAATTACATTTCCAATACAAAACTAAATCAGTCGACACTTACCTTGTAAAATTAATTGCTGTAATTTTTTGAATTGGACACAAACAGGATATGTATGTATAATTCTTCACAAAAAAACAAATTGATCTAATATTAATTTGATATTAGAAACATATACATTTTTACATAACGTAAATCGTTAATACTGAAATAATAAATTGTTTTAAAAACTTCCCTGATCCGTCAAACCGTCGCGTCGCGTCGGCGTGTCGTCTTTCTTAAGCAACAAAGAAAACTAAAGTCTATTTATAGGTCGATGCGTATTAATAGACAGTTAAAGCACGGCCGAATATGTATGTACGCTTGTGCAGTGATAAATTCAAGAACAGTTAACCTAATAGGACTGCTCATTCAGCCAAAAGTGTCCGCCAGGTGCATGCGAAAACTACTCGCTTTGTGACGTCAATGTACTCCTTGTCATGGTTATTAGTCCTTATCGGCAACCAATAATACACACACGTGCATTATTGGTTGCCGAATACAAAACGTTCATTATTTAGTTTATTTATTTAAACACCTATATGTATGCAGTAGAGAAAATTAACTGTTAAATCGTATTAAATACTCGGATAATGCATTTTTAAGAACAGCAGTTCCCAGCATCACCTTTTGCAAGCATTCTTTTTAGAATACTTCCATATTTTGCTCTAAAATAATTAATAAACACTATCGTAGGCACTTAGTAAGCACTTTGTCACAATCCACAACACAAAATGAACGTATAGCTCTAAAAACTTTAAAGACGCCCTTTTCACATTTAAAATTGACAAAATAATTAACTCAACATTTCTCAGCTGTTATTTTTATAAGTTTACGATAGGCAACTAATAATACACACTATCATGACAAGGACTACAATGACGTTACAACTGTCAGCTGAAGCGCGGGAAGAAGCGAACGTACGTCTTATGAGGATGAGCAATCCTATTAGTTTACAGTTCTTGTAATAAATTCACTTGCGTTTACGGATACGAGATACGTATCTTTGCGTGTCTTTACGTACGTACAAAATGCAAACGTATCGAGCCGAAAGGGTTTCGATTTCACCCGACTGATGCCGAACATACAAATTCAAATCGACAAATATCCGTTTTAATACCTGGCTCTCTGATTTTGGCGAGTTATTAGTAGTTATTGGAGATATATCAGAAATATTTGGCCTTGTGGAACAGGAAATGGGCCTATTTTAATATAATAAATTAATCATTGCACATTAGTGCACAGTGCACATTATAAGTTTTTAAAGGTGGGTATTTCCAATAATATAATTCCCATTAATATTAATTTTATCCTTCGATAAATACTTTTATAAATTTGATGTGGAATCAATGGGTTAAAATA